GTGGGCACTCCGATTTCTCCGTCTCTGTGGATTGTGAGTGGCGCTGTGCTCGCGACGACTACTTAAGGCTGTTTTGCCATCGCAGCCCATTATGGAAATGCATACTATTATCCGCGCTTTGTGGTGGTTCATCAATTTGCTGCCAGCCACTCTCAGACGCCCGGAATGTCCTCGGCGTTGATTCTTTTCTCGAGATTTATAGACCGTGATTTGTTGTTTTAGTGACTTTTAAATGCTTTGCTTGAATGTTCATAATTAAAAGACGGCTGTTCATTCCAAGAACATCTCTTCTATTATTCACTGCGTTCAGTTTTTCGTCATCACTGGGAAATGAGAAACAGCAGTCTGCCAATCAAACCCGATTTCTTGGCCACTTTTCAGGCTGCTTTCTCCTTTCCATGTTTCTCATTGAATTTTTTGAGTCCTAATAGTTCATTATGTTAGAGATATTGATTTATCACCTATTATGTATTGATTGGAAGTGGTTGGAATTGGAAAATAGAAAAAAAAAACAATAAGAGGCGAGCAGTTTCACGGAATGTTATGTCATTTGTCATTAAAACGGATTAAAGTTTTGTGATCGAAGTCACGGTCGGCGTAGTGGGTTGAGGCGCCATTTTGCGCCTACTTCGTTTATTTGACGTCATTTTGGCCCTTTACAAACTCGGTTCTATGGATTTTCGACTATTTTCTCGCACTCGTACTTCTCCTCTTTCAGTTCAGATATTTGCTATTGGCTCTTTGTAAGAATAACTTGAATGGTCTTACCATTCTGCTCACTTAAAGGCACAATGTAGGCAGAAGTTAAGTAAGCGATTTCCTTCAGCCAGTGGGATAAAGCCCTGAAGAACAAAGCCAGAAGTGGCATCCCTGTGTGTGGAATCGCCCAAAAAGAACGCTAGAGTCTTGCGAAGACAGCTTCGAGAGCTTCAACTTTTCCGTCACGGCAGGCTGTTGTCTGGCGCTCTCTCTCCTATTGCGCTCTCTCGCCTCATACTCTCCTCTAAACGCTCAGTCTCTCATTGTCTCAACACAGCCGATTGCAAATGTGAGAAAGCCCTCAATCTGAGCGTTTTTGAAGATTCTTTCCCATCTTTCTTTTAACTGCTGGCCCATTTCTCACCGATACTTTCATATTCATGTGCAAAGACGGCCTCACTTGATCCGGGCGTATGCCTCTAATCCGACTCTGGGTCGAACTATTCAATGAAGATAAACCTTTGATCTAGGTATACCATCACAAATTCAATTGGGTAGCCAAAAAATAGACAGGACCTTCAGAAAAGAGCCTTGGGACAGCTTCTATGCGCCTCCCAGAACCCATCACATTTCTGTCTGGCCTAGCGGAGTATGACGTATTTCAAAAGGGCGACATCACCATTGAGCGTCAGCTTCCTGTAGTACTTTTTCAATAGCTCTTTCTCGAGACCACATTAAACAACTAGTCCTTTTGTGAGGCTTACGTAGCGATTTCAGCTGTGGGAGTAGAATCCGCAGCTTTACCACCTGCGATCAGGCGTTTAGTAAGCACGCACTAAAAATGTCATTAATGGTTCGGTGTAGGAATTAAGGGCATGGCGTACTCTTGATGGGATCTGATATGATGGGGTTCGAGCTACATGTTCTCAGCATTTTCACTGGTATATAATCAGCGATACTGAGGTCAAAGGCATCGACGCCTTTGATTGAGCTCTACTTTTCACACGAACAAGTGTAGCGTTCAACGGCCTGAGAAGTGATCTCGAGGCCACGAACGTAAGGCGGATTCGAATCTTCAGAGAGCCACCTGATTCACATTTATTCCAAGAGTTCTTGAGGGGGCAGCAATCTCTCGCTTTCGCTTATTATTCTTTTGTGTACCTCAGAAGTGCAAAGTCAATCTTTTTAATTAAGACCTTCAACATTCCGTGTGTGCAGCAGCTGCTCCCGAGAAATTTCCTTTTGATGTTGCTTGTCGTGCTTGTCATCGAATTCCCCACGTCATGAGTGAGACATGTCGAAAATCACGTATTCGGAGCCGACGAAAATAAGGTCGAATTTTATTTCCTCGAGAAATTCGCCGAGGTTGCCGTGATGGGTGGTTAGGAGGCTTCGTACGCAGAAAAACCCAAGCGCCAATAACGTCAAAATCGCAATGGAAATTCTATTCATTTCCCGAATACGATTACCCTTAGCAGCCAACCCAACACGATGAGGAACTAAAGGACAGCTATCGTTCAGGGTATTCGCTGAAATTTGCTCGCAACCTAATTATCCGGAAGAATCCTCAAGATTTTGCTTCCACAGGACTTCAGTGCTAGGTTGGCTTCATTGATTGCCTCACGATTTGATTAGGTCTTCACTTTGAGCCGTAACTTGTTGTGAAGGAAAAAGAGAAAGGTGGCCGGCGTTCACAAATTTTCGGTGTGTGCCATGCATTCAACCGCCACGTAATTTTGTAAATCTCATTCTAGTTTTCGATTCAACTTCTTTTGTTTTAAAATTGCAGTTTTATTATGCGAAATGTATCCATCATTGAAAGACGAGTTGAAAAGACGATGATGTATCGATGGTGTAGCGGTTAGCAGGCTTGACGACAAGCACGAGATCCGAGTTCGAATCCCAGTTAAAACGTAAAGAAAAGCAAATGGTTTTGCTGTTTTTCTAGATCCTAATGATCACCTAGATGTCTTCTTGGCTGGCTTTAACATCGTCTGTTATTTTTCGCGATTACCAGCTCATGTTTGTAAATAGGCTCAAGAAGAAGCAGAAGACATTGATCAATTTCTCTCCTGGGATTTGCTATGCAGTCAGCTTCAATTTAAAGTAGTAGAACCTACTAAACCCATGCGTAACTCGTGTGCTCGATAATGGTAGTGTTCATATTTGTTCTCCTAACTGTTGTGGTAGCACTGAAGAGCCCTGTAAGGATCAGAGAAAGACTCAGCCAGAAAAAGGCAACCCTGGGCTCCTTCCTGGTGTGAGAGACCGTGAAAAAAGCCCATCACTTTTGTTAATGCATTACCAGTTCTTCGTTTCCTCTTGCGTGATCGTTGAAAGCAGAATTCTATTAGCCGAAAGCTGAAATGGAAGGTGGCATCAAAAGCTGCACTCACGGTAATGATACCGTTGAAATGAGAGAGCAGAGGCCCTAAATGATGGGCCATGAAATTGATCAGGAGAAGCGGTCAAAAATTTGAGAAACGTGGTTCCACACTCGGTAGTTAACTCGTCCACTCCCTAAACAGAAGGGACTTATTGGCTCGTTGGTTTTGGGAATGGACGAGTTTATCTTCATGTGAAGGCCGTTTGGGTAAATTTAAACACTGGTACTATGGTACAGCCATCAACAGGTAGTCGCTGCTTCGATGGTCGCTGTAAGCACTTAGAAAAGTAAATTGCACGATGGCGGTAACGTTCTCATATACATCGCAGCCATTATCCCTTTTACAGCGGTGGGCGTCTCTGAGAACTGGAGGAGTTATGATGCACCTTCGGCGTCTCATCACGCAGTTGGTTAAGCGCCTTCTGCTCCAAAAGCGCCTCCCTTTAATTTACTGAGGCACTCCTCTATCTTCTTCAATACTCTTCTCTCTTTTTCATGGACATCAATTTTATTACAGTTTTCGTATATAATCGAGAAGAATCAATATGAATAAAACATTGATTTGTTTCTAGAAGACCATTCTTCTGTAGGCTGAATAACATTACACTGAAATGTCGACTATGATAAAGTTTTTCTCACTATTCTGCCTAACATTCCTGAAAATTCAATTTCGACATGTTCCATTGCTACCGTTTTCTCTTTTCTATGCTTCATTTCCTATGAGAATTCCAATGGAGTTATTGGTTGGTTTTCCTTCGACATCATTTCATTGCATAGCGAGCTCGTCATACCGTTTTTAGAATTGGCTTTAAAATTTTCGCTGTTCATTCCAGAATACTACCACCGACCGAGGTGCAGACGGTGAACGTTCGATGCCAGGGTCATCGTTCAAGCGAACGATTTTGATCACCGGCTCGACGGATGGCATCGGAAAACAAACGGCTACCGATTTGGCCGCTCATCCGGATAATCGAGTTATTATCCATGGACGAAGTGAAGAGAAATGCGAGGTACTTCTTTGCCACTTAACTACAGTTTATGTGGATTTCCCGAAATGCGCTTCTAAATATGGGGAGGTGGTGTAGTGGCAAGTGGCGCTGCTTACCACGCGCGCGGTCCAGGGATCGAATCTTGGGTCGTGCGTCGTCCAGGCTAGCTATGCCTTCCATGCCCACGGGGTCAATTAATTGGTACCAGACTTGTCGGATGATAAAAACCGACTTGTAAATTAGTCGGCCCCCGCAAGTCAAATGAATTTAAATTGCCATTACGATTGTACAAATAGAAGTATTAGAATGCGTGGCTCATCCTAAAAAGGGGTGAATCAACGACGAATGCTTCGCTCTATACTTCTAAATAAGGTATAATATGTATGCGCAACAGATGTGACCAGATCTGCTCTATCTTCAGTGAGCATCCCCGGGGAATTCTAGTCTTTCCTGCATTTGGTTTCATACGGCCTTTATATCGGTGATTGAAACGTTAGGAAGGGCCAGTCACTGAAGTTGATTAATCATCTCCTTCTACATAATGGACAAAACCTCCTATGGAAGTCGAAAGCGGCGAGTAATGTTGAAAAAGGTCCGATGCTTAGGCCTATAGAGTATGTGTGGCTCCTCCCATCCATTCCATGGGTTACCACTCAATTGAACATGATGAAAAATTGCATTTCGCCGTATATTGAAGTGCTGATTGGGCGAAGACAGATAAGGAAGTGCAGTGAACTTCTCATATGTTGCCAATAAATTACCCGGGCTTCTTGAAGAATAAGCTCTCGGGACACTCGTCCTAAAACTCGTCCGCTAACCCTGCTTACGTGGACGTTCTTTAGTGTTCTAACAAGGGAAGGATGGTAGGTCGAAGTGGCCATTTGTGATGAGATGCATATCACCCACGAGGTCCTTGGACGCTGACTTCGAATCTGCATTCCATATCTGCTAAACGATTCCCTGAACAAAACTACAGAGCTTGATGTGAGCAAACTCGAGTCCAGCAGGAACATGACCCGCAAGCACATCCAGAATGTGGACCGGTGGCCTAGTGGGTACGTTGCAGGTCGTATGTCTGTTAGGTCAAGGGTTTGGATCCTTGATGCGGGCGCATTTTTGCACCTTTTCAGAAGTATGCTTAATGCGTTTGCGAACCACTTTTTCACGTTTAGAAAACCTTATCTGGGCAAAATCTGCAGTTTCCAAAGGAAGTGGACCGTTTGGGACAATTCCGTCGTCGATTCTTCTGGTCCCCCTTTCCCTACATTCTAAACAAGTTAAACCTCTAAATGTACTGAAAATCTGTAAAACGATTAAATGGCATGCTGGGGAAGGGTTTATAAGCATTGAGCATGATAACCCCGTATTCTCCCTTTCAAGATTGGAATTTTCGCTTCCACTTCAAAAAGGTGCTGGGACTCTGTAGACTTGAGGAGCTGTCAATGCCAGGAAGAGGTCCTGACAACGCGGCGCCTGGAGTTTATTGTCATGATAGCGCGTTCTGTTGCCCGTGCACATGAAGTTTCAACGATCAGAAGCTTCCTGCCCACGAAAACTGTACTCGTGGGTGATGCAGAACGCACCAGCTTCTAGCGGGCTGTACTACCCATGGTTGCCCACACTTTTTCGATGTAGAGGAAATTTTCAATTCGGCTAGAAAAACGTCACAAGGGGTAGTTTGACCTCCTGAAAACGAAAATCACGCTCTCTTGGTGAGAAAACGCTTCGTTCGTGTATTGCGTACGCTAGAGTGCCGCAGTGCAAAAGTCAAAATATTCAAGACAAAATTCGTCAAAAAACGGCAATCTA